CTGCGAGTGAAACCTTGAAAGCTCGAGAGATCAGGATGGTCTCATGAGGCTAAACGCAGGCAGCCTTTGGTGAATTTACTTTACAGAGTCGCTTTGGGAAGTGGATACGACAAACGATAGTCTAATCAGGGCTTACAGACGCAGGAAACGACAATAGACATTGAGGCTCATCACACTGCTAGGCAGAATCATCACTGGAAATCATGTGGCATGATAGGGGAGCTAGCATTTTTATAATTGTCTGAAATTTCCAGATTACGGAGGCTGACTGTAAGGAGATGACGCGGCCTGCTCATGTGCTCTTTGTTATCTGAGAACCGAGCCAGAACTGAATCGCGACGAGCCTTACTGATGAGCTAGTACCATGTTAGTGCGGTTCGGTTGTGTCTGGCACGGTCCTGTTCAGTTTTGTGTGCCATTTACACTAAACAGTTATTTCGGTTACCATGCTCCGATTACGGCACGGTTTCAAAAAGAGTAGTGTAAACGGGTCTATAGTTTAACATACCTATCTGCTGCTGATATAATGTTACCCACCTATTACTCCAATCAGAGAGTGTCTTGCCAATGACCAAAATCAAATAATAACATAATGATGCTAAAAGGCTAAATCATGCTAACCGAAATAAAACAAATGTCATTTATTTAAAATAAGATCTACCTCCTCAAGACTTTGCTAGTTCATAATTTCCCCTTTACTAATCAAATTGAGTTTTGTTGTCTTACAGAAACCTGGCTGCAACAAAAGGATTATGTTTTCATATATGAAACAACTCACTCCACCTTTTTAAATGTTTAAATACCCAGAAATTCTGGGCGATAGAGGAGTAGCAAAAAGCTTTAAGTCCAATTTACCGATTAGTCCAAAGCCAGTTAATAGTTACAATTTGCATGAACTTTTAATCCTTAGTTTCCCCCATTCTTTGTAACTTGTTCCACTGTCTACCAGGCCTTTACTAATTTTTAGATCGGTTTCTGAGTTCCTATCTGATTTATTGTTGAATACTGACAGGGNTTCTTTGTAACTTGTTCCACTGTCTACCAGGCCTTTACTAATTTTTAGATCGGTTTCTGAGTTCCTATCTGATTTATTGTTGAATACTGACAGGGGGATTCCAATGGGTGATTTTAACATCAATGCTGACATTGAAGGTGATGGCTTAAACGCAGTCTTTAATGCCATCTTAAACTTGATTGGCTTTGTACAAAATGTTCATGGACCCACACATTGTCATCTTCATTCTTTAGACCTTGTGCAGACATATGGTATTGAATGTGAAGAAATAACACCATTTCCATACAACCCTGTTCCATTTTACCACCTTTCTGTAACCTTTAACTTTAATTTACGTTATCTTCCATAAGTTGCATTTCCTTGGATAGAAAAGTTTTAACCAGTCTGACTATGCATTTGATTTGTCTCTGTAAAGTGCCTTGTTATCACTTGTCATGAATTGGCACTATAAAAATAAAGACTTATTTCCCTCCTTTATTATAATTACCCTTATATTTGAACACTCACTCCTTTGACGTTACAGTGAATGTAAATCTTAGCTGGTATCCACTTCGATTCTTAGAAGCAGCAGCAACACTTGGTAATAATCTAGTGATTCAGATAAAATGTAATGTAATTTGGAGGATACCAGCTTATCTCAAGGCCAGTTTTATTAACGTACTTCTTCAGAGCTCATGATGCTCAACTTAATCAGAGATTAGAAGAAGCGAATGGAAACAAGTCCTTGAAACGCAGAAGGACGTCCAGTTAGTTGAAGATTTTGCGTGACTGGAAAATCTAATGTAAAAACTGCTTCCAAAATGGACTGAAGAGATAGCAGCACGTTGGATGGCGGCCAACACAAATGCTAGAGCCGCAGGTCCCCGGCTCCTGTCAACAGCTACTACATTCCTGTCCAGCTGAAGCCAGACCCTGATATGTCAGCCGTCTGATGCGATACCCTTAAAAGCCATTCAACAAACTATAAAAAGGTCAAAACCATTTTTCCGTCATCAAATCACATTTCTATTACTTTCGTCATACAATAATGTTCAAAATAATATTGTTAGGAAAAATTCATTGAAGAAAGATGTGTGTATCAGAGATGGATGTATTAAAATAGATCCACTACTTTTGTTTTCCCAGTTCCAAATCAGACTTCCTGC